TAATTAGCCTCAGAACCTGTGTAATTAATATGTGTGCGGTTTTTGAAGGGATGAGGTGGCAACCCTAAGGGCTCGTTCACTCTTGGCTGTTTTACCAACACTTGCCAAACGCCCCTATTAGCGTTTGGCAAGCGTTGGTCCAGCGCTCCGCAAACGCCGCATGCGCGGTTTAGCGTCGGTTGCTAGGCGTTTGCCGAGCGTTAAAAAACGCCCCACAAACGCCTAAAATGCAGTTTGAATGGTGTTACCGCTCCGAAAACGCCCCACAACCGCACCGCAAACGCCAGCCGGGCGTTTGCGGAGCGGCACCATAGACTAGAATAGGAGGCTTCAACGCCTCCTGACTCGACCAGAGCCATCTGTTTTGCCACGATGCAACGCGACGCAAACGCTCCCATTAGAACAGCACCATGTGCTGTAATGTGCAGAATTGGCAGAGGCATTTGGGAAGCGGTAAAAAACGCTTCCCAAACGCCTCTCTGCCGCCTGCACACAACGCTAGTGCGAACGTAGAATAAGATCTCGTTCACACTTGACTGTTTTACCAACTCTTGCCAAACGCCGGCGTTTACGGAGCTTTTTTTAACGCTCAGCAAATGCTCCGCAAACACCGCATGCGCGGTTCAGCAGCGGTTGCTAGGCATTTGCTGAGCATTAAAAAACGCCCTACAAACGCCTATAATGAAGTTTGAATGGTGTTACCGTTCCGCAAACACGCAACCGCACCGCAAACGCCAGCCGGGCGTTTGCGGAGCGGCACCATAGACTAGAATAGGAGGCTTCAACGCCTCCTGACTCGACCAGAGGCATCTATTTTGCCGCGCCACGATGCAACGCTAACGTTCCCGTTAGAACAGCACCATGTGCTGCAATGTGCAGAATTGTCCGAGGCGTTTGGGAAGTGGTAAAAACGCTTCCCAAACGCCTCTCTGCCGCCTGCACACAACGCTAGTGTGAACGTAGCCTAATTGTACTATGACAGCGGAACTCCACCGCCATCAGAATACAGTGACCAGTGTTGCAGCCGTTGTTCCTGTTAGACAAAAATTGATCGTTAGATCGAGGTCTGTCAAGTGGGAATGGCCATCGAGTGAAAATCAGCTGTCCCCTGCTGATTTGGCCAAATCTCGATCCATCTATGGTCCGCTTTAGGTCTATACAATGTGCTACATGATATAATAAGGCTCAAGTCACAAAGCTGACACACCAGGATAAGAATCCTTATTGTCATAAAATTGACTGTCCTTTTCATCTGAGTCCAATGAGCTTTGAAAATGATAGTCACATGGATAAAATAAAGATCCTTATCCTGGTGTTTAAATGTTGTGAATAGAGCCTATAGAGTTTAGCTGTCAGGACTATACAATGTACTACATAGTTTATGTCAGTGGATCCTAGGCGGAGAAATGGGTGTTAATGATTATTGGGAGAAAAAATGCCCCGCATTAGTAGGGATAGGGGGCTCCCTGGCTTCAGTTGTCTGAAAGAAACACATATTTACAAATAGGGGTGAGCCTGAGGTGTGCAGAGTGCTGCTTGGTGCTTTAGGCTGGGTTTATACTATGGCATTGCAGTCACACATATAGGAGTTGGTGTGTTGCAGTACCATACATTTTTATTTGTACCCCAACCAGGGGCGGACTGACAACTCATGGGGCCCCGGGGCAATAGGGGATCATGGGGCCCCTGTGTCCTTGCCCAAACTCAAAAAAGCCTATGAAAAAGGTACCAGGGGCATCTCATGGGGCCCCCTACTGACCCCGGGCCCTCGGGCAGTGCCCGAGTTTCCAAATGGTCAGTCCACCCCTGACCCCAACACACCAAAGCTGGTCATAGAGTGAAATCTGGACAGTTCAGCAGGGAATGGGTGAATTTCGATCCATATGTGGACTAGGGTTGCCACCTCATCCCTTTATTCCCAAACACATAATAATTACACAGGTTCTGTGGCTGACTGAGGTGGTAATTAAACTCACTTACACCCCGCTCACATCAAAGCCGATTTTGAAATCGTGCGACTTACAGTGAAGTCGCATGATTTCAAACTTGGGTGACTTGCCGATTTGAAGTGCCATTTGCAAGACATCTGACACAGATGTCTGTGCAAATCGCACCAAAAGTAGTGCATGCACAACTTTAGAAATCGGTGCGGCTCCAACCAAGTCGGAACCTTTCCGATATGACCGTTCTAATAGCGAACAATAGGGTGCGACTTGGTATACGATTTTCAAGTCGCATGGCATGCAAATCGCATGCCAAGTCCAGGGGTGGACTGACAACTCATGGGGCCCCCAGGCAGTAGGGGATCATGGGGCCCCTGTGTCCTTGCCCAAACTCAAAAAAAGCCTTTGAAAAAGGTACCAGGGGCATCTCATGGGGCCCCCTACTGACCCCGGGCCCTCGGGCAGTGCCCGAGTTTCCAAATGGTCAGTCCGCCCCTGGCCAAGTCGCACCCGAAGTGATAAATCTTATGTCTTATCTACATTAAACTAGATTCATAACCTGTGTATTTAGTATATGTTCCGATTTAAAGGAATGAGGTGGCAACCCTAGTGTGGGCCTCACTGCTCGACAGAAGTCAATGGTTAGATTGGCTTCTGTTGATTGGACAGCACAGGGTTCCACTGTTAAAATACAATGTTCTGGAGAAAGGGGGGATTGCTCCATTCACCACATTTGTCTGGGTGGAAGAATCTGTTCACTTTTTTCAGCCCGCTGGCAGACCATTCAGTCAATCATTTGCACTAACATAAAGCGCATTAATGCAGTGGGCAAATGTAAACCCAGACTTAGGGGGAATGAAGTTATATCCACGGGCAGTAGATTCGTGGCGGCGGTTGTAAAGCTGCCTTGCACACACTGTGTGTGACCAGCAATAATTGTTAGCAGCAGCTGTCAGATCGTTACTCTATACATATCAATCACCTGGGCTGTGCTGCTATTCACATGTAAGGCCGGCCATACATGGGTTGATTTTTGAACGATTTTTTGTTTGCAAATCGGACCTAAGAATAATCGGACGATTTTTGCTCTGTTAGTGGGGCAATGGCACCGGCCGATTTTCGTGGTTCCTCCCCATTTCGTTTATGGGGCATGCTGGAAAATTCGAGAAAAACTACTGATTTTCGAAATCATTGGTAGCACCATCGGATTACTGAACGAATGATGTTTTTGATTGAAAAATCGTTCGGAATTCGACCCATGTATGGCCTGCTCATCTGTGTGGTTACATGTGAACAGAACCTCCAAATGACTTTTAATGCAGACAGTGCACATCCAGGGTTGGAGTTTACGCAGAGTTCTGGCTGCACACAAACTGGCCACAGTATTGCTGTGTCAAGCGGCACGGTTTAGCTACATCTGAACCAGGGGCGGACTGACCATTTGGAAACTCGGGCACTGCCCGAGGGCCTGGGGTCAGTAGGGGGCCCCATGAGATGCCCCTGGTACCTTTTTCATAGGCTTTTTTGAGTTTGGGCAAGGACACAGGGGCCCCATGATCCCCTTTTGCCCGGGGGCCCCATGAGTTGTCAGTCCGCCCCTGATCTGAACACAGCAAACTATCCACCGCTGCATGCCCATGTGAATGTAGTGTGAGCAGTAGAAGATGCATGTAGACCGAAGGGGAGCCAACAGCACTGACATTGATTATCAGCAGTCAGTGGGAATGTAATACTATCAGGGGCGGACTGACCATTCGAGCACTCGGGCACTGCCCGAGGGCCCGGGGTCAGTAGGGGGCCCCATGAAATGCCCCTGGTAACTTTTTAGAGGCTTTTTTGGGTGTGGGCAAGGACACAGGGGCCCCATGATCCCCTATTGCCTCCCCCCACCCCCCCCCCCCCCCCCCCCCCCCCCCCCCCCATGGGGCCCCATGAGTTGTCAGTCCGCCCCTGAATACTATTGTTGTGTGATGTAGCTACTGTGCTATTCTCATGCCCCCATAAACCAGATTCTAACTCTTCCCTCCCATAAACATAATTTTGGTAACTTCTTCCCTGCCCTAACACCTATTTTGCCACCTTTCAAACACAGCATGTTGCTGAGAGGCTCACCTGTGTTCTCCCTGTCTCCAAAACAGAGACCCACACAGCAGCTGGCAGGATTCACTGAGCGTGGAGGAGAGATGTACACTGAAGAGGCCTGAATGGAGGAGGAGGGGGGGAGATGGAAGCACAGCATGGCTCAGAATTCCAGTGCTCATCCAATCGCAAATCAGCTGATATCGGAACTGTAAATGCGCAATGCATAAGTGATCGGATTAAAAAATATGCGTACTGGAGCTTGCCATTCAGAGACAATTATGGAAGGGGGCAGAGCACCCTGTTACTGTCCCTATAACAGATCATTGGCAACTCTGTTCTGGGGGAGGAGAGGTTCAGGCCCCCCTGACCCCCTCCCTCCCCTGTATCTATGCCCCTGGCTTGGCAAAGATGGACCATTCATTTTTATGCTGTCAGTTTCTGTGTTTCAAGGTAACACCTCCAGCCTGCTGACTGGAAAGTGAAGGATCAGTAGCACATTGATGTATATATATATATATACAGTTGCAAGAAAAAAGTATGTGAACCCCTTGGGATTACGTGGAGTTTTGCATGAATTGGGCATAAAATGTGCTCTGAACGTCATCTAAGTCACAACAATAGAAGAACACAGTCTGCTGAACAAATTCCTACACAAACATTAGATGTTGCCAAGGTTTCATTGCACATAACATGTAAACATTCACAGAGCAGGGAGGAAAAAGTATGTGAACCTTTGGACTTAATAACTGGTTGACCCTCCTTTAGCAGCAATAACCTCAACCAAACGTTTCCTGTAGTTGCAGATCAGACCTGCACAACGATCTGGAGTCATTTTGGACCACTCCTCTTCACAAAACTGTTTCAGTGTAGCAATATTTTGGGATGTCTGGTGTGAATCACTCTCTTAAGGTCATGCCACAGCATTTCAATTGGGTTGAGGTCAGGACTCTGACTGGACCACTCCAGAAGGCGTATTCCGTGCTGTTGCAGCCATTGTTTTGTTGAATTACTTGTATGCTTTGGGTCATTGTCCTGTTGCATCACCCATCCTGTGCGGAGCTTCAGTTGGCGGACAGATGGTCGTACGTTTTCCTGCAAAATGTCTTGATAAACTCTGGAATTCATTTTCCCATCAATGACAACAATCTGTCCAGGCCCTGATGCAGCAAAGCAGCCCCAAACCATGATGCTCCCTCCGCCATGTTTTACAGTGGGGATGAGGTTTTGATGTTGGTGTGCTGTGCCTTTTTTTCTCCACACATAGTGTTGTGTGTTCTTCCCAAACAACTCAATCTCAGTTTCATCTGTCCACAGTAAATTTTGCCAGTAGTGCTGTGGAACATCCAGGTGCTCTTTTGCAAACTTCAAACGTGCTGCAATATTCGTTTTGGACAGCAATGACTTCTTTCGTGGTGTCCTCCCATGTTCTCCATTCTTGTTTAATGTTTTCCTTATTGTAGATGTGTCAACAAAAATGTTAGCATATGCCAGAGATTTCTGTAGGTCTTTAGCTGACACTCTGGGATTCTTCTTTACCTCATGCAGCATTCTGCACTGTGCTCTTGCAGTCATTTTTACAGGACGACAACGCCTAGGGAGAGTAGCAACAGTGCTAAACTTTCTCCATTTGTTGACAGTCTGTCTTACCGTGGACACATGAACATCAAGGCTTTTGGAGATACTTTTGTAACCCTTTCCAGCTTCATGCAAGTCAACAATTCTTGATCGTAGGTCTTCTGAGAGCTCTTTTCTGCGAGGCATGGTTCACATCAGACAGTGCTTCTTGAAACCTGTAAACCCAAAACAGGTGTGTGTTTTTTAAGGGCAGGACAGCTGTCAGCAACACATCCAATATCATCACACTGATTGGAGTCAAGGTTGGCTCACTCCTGGCTCCAATTAGCTCTGGGAGAAGTCATTAAGCTAGGGCCTCACATACTTTTTCCTCCATGCACTGTGAATGTTTACATGTTATGTGCAATTAAACCATGGCAACATCTAATGTTTGTGTAGTATTATGTTCAGCAGACTGTGTTCTTCTATTGTTGTGACTTGGATAACGTTCAGAGCACATTTTATGCCCAATTCATGCAAAACTCCACGTAATCCCAAGGGGTTCACATACTTTTTCTTGCAACTGTATATATATATATATATATATATATATTATTATTATTATTTTTTTTTTTTTTTTAAATGAGTACTCCACTTTAGAAAACTAAGATTTTAATCAATATCTCAATGAACACCAGAACAATTTCCAAAAGTTTGACAAAACTGAGTTTTATACAACGTTTGTTTAGCTCATTACATGAAATTAAATAATATCACCTAGATTACAAAATCTTCCATTTTACTCAAATTAGTTGATGCAAAAATGAATACACCCCACAACAAAAACTACTACATGTAGTATTTTGTGTGACCTCCATGATTTGTAAGGACAGATTTGTAAGTCTTCTAGGCATGGAATGGAGAAGATGCTGACATATTGCAACATCTAGTTTTTTCCATTCTTCAAGAACAACCTCTGTTAGAGCCTGGATGCTGGATGGAGAGTGATGCTCAGCTTGTCTCTTCAGAATTTCCCATAGGTGTTCGATTGGGTTCATATCAGGAGACATACTTGGCCACTGAATCACTTTCACCCTGTTCTTGTTCAGAAATGCAACAGTGGCCTTAGATGTGTGTTTTGGATTATTGTCATGTTGGAAAAGTGAATGATGACAGAATGAAGGTCAGGGAGTGATGGTAGCATCTTCTTTTTCAATACAGAGCAGTACATTTATGAATCCATGATGCCATCCATGAAAAGCTCTCCCTGACACCAGCAGCACTCATGCAGCTCCACAGAAGGACATTGCCATCACCATGTTTTCCTGTAGGCACCATGCATTTTTCTTTGTACTCCTCACCTTTGCAACACCATACAGTTTTGAAGCCATCAGTCCAAAAACATTTATCTTGGTCCCATCACTCCAGAGTACAGAGTCCCAGTAGTCTTCTTCTTTTTCAAAAAGGGTCCTGGCAAATTCTAGGCAAATTTTTTGTGCATGGGCTTTAGGAGAGACTTCCTTCGTGAACGACACCCATACATGCCATTCCTCTGCAGTGTACACTGTATTAGGTCACGGGAAACAATTGCCCCAGTTTGGCTTTCTGGTACTTTAACTAACTGCAGTGAACTTGCATGACGATTTTCTTCAACCCTTCTCATCAGAAGACGCTCCTGTCAAGGTGTTAACTTCCTTGGACAGCCTGGACATCTCTGTGAGATGGTTGCAGTTCCATCTTTGTTAATTTTCTGTATCACTCTTGCTACAGTATTTGCTGATCTTCTTCTTCACCTTTCTTTTGTAATTAAATTATTTTCTTTCTCAGGCCTTGTGACATTTCTCTTCCCTGTGGTGCCATTGCTGGCAGCATGAAGTGGGAAGGGGTTTTCTTTGTTAAGTAAAACCCTTTTGTAATCAACTGTCTGCTGGGCAGCTGTTTCGTGAATAATTAGACTCACCTGTACTTGGATTTTGCTTAATCAGAAGTTTGTTGGCTAAAATTTAGCTTTGCTCCTTATGCAGGCCATAGACGGGGAGAAAAACAGCCGATTTTTCTTTTAAAAATTGAAAAATCGGTCGTTCAAGCGGCCGACGTTACCAGCAATGGTAAAAAAAAATCGGCCGATTTTCATCCCGTCTACAGCCAGCAAAAAGTGTCCCTGCAGAGAGCTCCGCTATTTCTTTGACAGTCTCTTGACATTTATAGCGGTTGCAACAATGTATCTATTTGTATCCATTTAGGATACAGATGGTTTTATTCGGAAACAAATAGATACAATGTTGCAACCTCTGTAAATGTCAAGGAACTGTCAAAGAAATAGCGGAGCTCTCTGCAGGGACACTTTTTGCCGTACTGGAATTCCTCTTATTTTTCATCCTTCTTCTTCCTCTTCTTCTCCTTCTTCTTCTTCATCATCATCCTCCTCTTCTTCTTCTTCTTCATCATCATCCTCCTCTTCTTCTTCTTCATCATCATCCTCTTCTTCTTCTTCATCATCATCCTCTTCTCCTTCTTCTTCTTCTTCTTCATCATCATCCTCTTCTTCTTCTTCTTCTTCATCCTCTTCTCCTTCTTCTTTCATCATCCTCTTCTCCTTCTTCTTCTTCATCATCATCCTCTTCATCTTCTTCATCATCATCATCCTCTTCTTCTTCATCATCATCATCATCCTCTTCTTCTTCATCATCATCCTCTTCTTCTTCATCATCATCCTCTTCTTCTTCTTCATCTTCTTCTTCTTCTTCATCATCATCTTCTTCTTCTTCTTCATCATCATCCTCTTCTTCTTCTTCTTCATCATCATCCTCTTCTTCATCATCCTCATCTTCTTCATCATCATCATCATCCTCTTCTTCCTCTTCATCATCATCCTTTTTTCTTCTTCTTCATCATCATCATCCTCTTCTTCTTCATCATCATCCTCTTCTTCTTCTTCATCCTCTTCTTCTTCCTCTTCTTCTTTTTCTTCTTTTTGTCTTCCTCTTGCAGGTCACTGCTCATGCGCAGATTTTTTATCGGTAAAAAATCGGCCGATTTGCCCATCATTGCCGCGAAAATCTTTTTTTCCAACTTTAAAAAAAATCTGCCAAAATACCGAAAAAACGGCCGAACAAATAGCCCACTAACGATCCGAAAATCGGCCGATTTTATTTTCGGCCGATTTTCGACCCATCTATGGCCTGCATAAGACTTTCATTGGGGTATAGTCATGTTTGCAACATTGTCTGGAATTAATTTTTTTAGGAAAAATACTTTTTTGTGTGTGCTCAAATTAACAAATCTTGTTTGCAATCAATGTCCCGCATTTGTGGGAGCATCTGTATACACACACACATACATATATTATATATATATCTCTGAGCTAGATTCACATGTTCATTCCCATAGCAGTGGATTTAAGTTATCTGTGATCATCTTCCATGTGAGTGGGCATTTTTATTTCTTTAAAAATAAAGCGATTATGCAGTATTACACTATGGGAGGTCTGTTTTGTTGTCTACGACCTTCTGGTGGGATCGGTTACGGAGTGGAGCCAGGTGACAGGAGGACGTGGAGGAGTAGCAGGGATATCCAAACCACGAGAGGGGCTCATCTACCGATATAACCATCCTGGGATATATGTGGATATTCCACAAAGTGTGGTGACCCTTGTGGTCTCATAAAGGAGGTGAGGAGGCACTTTGGCTGTTCATGGATATCACCTTGCAGAGTGTGGCACTTAATATACACCATCCATCTGTCTGGGTCCCTGCATCCATTAAGTAATAAGGACTAGGTTATTACCAATATTTACACACCGTTTGGACTTTTTTTTTTTTTTTTCACGTGTGATATGTTCCTCTAAGAGGAATCACTTGTGTTACTATCACTTGATCCCCTATTTGGGGCTGCTGTTTTATTCTGTGGGTAGGGGTGTGTTGCATGTCTTTATTTATATGCATTTATATGAATTTAGTGCTACACCATTATATTGTATAGTTTGGGACTTGGTGTCATCCATTCCCCATATGGGGTACCACTTATACGTGGGCAATTTTTATTCAAGCGTGCCACTATTTAGACATTTGTACAATCTTGGAACTGGCGAATGTGGCAAAGTGTGACCTAATGTGTGCCCACCATTAGTGGGTGGATGCAGGGTGGTATATTCTAATGGTGGGCATACCACACACTTTTTCTGGCAGAGATTTCTTCTCTTTTTTTTCATTCAGTCCACAGGCTGCATACAAAAAAAAAAAAAAAAAAGAACATAGCATATACAGTAATACCTTGGTTTACGAATGAAAATCCATTGAAAATAATGCCTCAGTTTACAAATTCAAAAAAATTAAATGCAATTGCCGTCTTTTTTTTTTTTTTTTTTCACTATAGCTCGCAACATTAGCTGTCAGTTTCACGGGAGCTAAAGGATACTTTGTATCTTTTAAGAAACTGAAAGGAAACGTTGTATCTTTTAAACTAAAAGAAACTTTCTCTCTTTTAGCTGGAGGGGAAAGTGACTGCTGAATTTCTGCACTACTGTATAGTGAAGAAAAAAGTAATTACATTTAAAAACTGGCACCTGACAGCTGAGTGTAAAAG